CATGGTATATTCCAGAGCAGAAAGAGTTGAAATTATCGAAATATTTTTCGGAAATAATGAGTGCGCTAATAGAACAGCAGAAATATTAATTTAATGAGCGACATGAGAACAGTAACGTACATCGAAAATATGTTCTAGAACTTGAAGCAAACTTTCTGGAAACCGGGTCAGTCGCCAATAAACAACGCAACATTGAAAATCCCATAAGGAACGAAGCAATGGAAGTGGGGATTTTAGGGCAAGTTTATGTAGATCCTACGTTAAGTACCCGCAAATTGGAGACTGTGTGTGGTGTTAGTCGACGTACTGTCCAACGGATTCTAAAGGCCCATAGTTTTCAACCGTAGTCAAGTCCGTCGAAATCATGTGCGATGCTTAGATCGGTGTACTCCGGTTGGAGGAAGACATTTTGAACAATTGTTGTGATGATATCATGTACAAAAGGCAAACATTAAATGCATTAAATCCTATTTAGGCAATTCAACGTCTTTCTAAATTTTAACGCGTTTTAGGGCCGTAGTGCCGTAGTGACACTTTTCGGGATATGGGTCCCTATACTCAAATGTTTTCTACTGTTACACTGAATAACCGCTAGAAGATTGATCCCATAGTTCTGAAACACCCTGTATATGCAGTGACAGCATTAATAAAAAAATATAAAATATAATGACGAAGCATTAGCAATTTATTGGTAATCTAGTTAGCACGAACGAATTGGAAAAAATAGACGAATCCTGGGGTCACCGTATAGACCGTCGATTGACTGACGAGTGCAGACGAAGTAATTGTCATTTTGAGGTTATGTATTCAACGGGCATCCGCTAACGGTAGGTCTAGCGGTCGACAATGTTACTCGGCGCGGTCTAAGTAGCGCGGCCGTGATTTGGAAATTAAATTTTGGAGGTGAATGTGGGAAAACTCACCGAATTTATGGATACTTAAAGATTTATTGTCCGGTCCTCAAATAAGAAATTTCACTGCCGAGTAAACACACAGGTCGTGCGTGCTGAGCGTTCTTCTTGTAAGTTCGTTATACATGCAATGAGTTTATCCGTTTATTGGAGCGTAAAGCTATGACTTATTGCTTAGACGCGAGACGATTGAAGGATAAGGACTACATTCCGAAAACGTAAAATATTATTGATTAGTATAAAGTTTCTCAGACAATGTAACCAGGTGCAATGAATTTTCCTTTTTAGTTCCAGAGTGTGTTAAACTTTTGAATACAAACATGTACAGAGAAAGTGTTAAGTATACTAAGTGACATAGAAATCCGAACACCCAGTTTAAATGGTTTTATTTTAATAAAAGTTGGTGAATGTATTTATCTTACTGTAAATAACAAGTGAAAAAATTTTCAGCCTTATCAGTTGGACATTCCGGTTTTTGTACTGCTTTTTTTTAATTCACTAACGCTCTAAAAATGAATATTTCAGCCGCAGTAAAGAATCAACGTTGGCGGATTTTGGTTCTTGACATCCTTTACGATCGGTTACGATGCCTAGAGTACGGAGACCTGTACGATTTCGTCAACTTAGTGAGTTTGATAGGGGCCGTATAGTGGGACTTCAGGAAGCTGGACTTTCTTTTCGGGCAATTGCAGTTAGAGTGCAAAGAAGTGTAGACACTGTGGTTAGGTATTGTCAGGCATGGCTTCGAGAAGGCCGTACGCAAAGAGCAAGGGGCACTGGACGCCCCAGTAGAACAACAGACCGTGAAGATCGCCGCCTAAGATTATTGGCCTTAAGGGACCGTTTCTCCACTACCAGGTCCATTGCAAATGAATGGTTTGCAGAACACGGAAGACTTATTGGCATGCGAAGTGTTTACCGACGAATGAGAAGTTTTGGCTTGTTTTCATACCGGCCACACTGGGTCCTCCCTTTAACTCGAGAACACCGACGTAATCGCCTTGAGTGGTGCAGACAACGGTCACTCTGGGCTCAGGAATGGAACAGTATTGTCTTTAGTGACGAGTCTCTATTTTGTTTAGGCATGCACGATGGTCGTGCCAGGGTTAGGAGGCGACGTGGTGAAAGGAGGAATCTACAGTTTTTTGTTGAAAGTCATGTTCATCACACTGTTGGAGTTATGGTTTGGGGTGCTATAGCTTATGGTTCCAGGTCACCTTTAATCTTCATCAGAGGTAACATGAACGCGCAGCGTTATATCCACGAAGTTCTAGAACCCCATCTTTTACCCTATCTTGACACCCTGGCAGATCCAACTTTCCAGCAAAATAACGCCCGACTACATGTTGCAAGAGTCACAATAGACTTCTTTCAACATAATGATGTCACATTGTTACCATGGCCACCAAGATCTCCCGACTTATCCCCAATTGAGCACGTGTGGGATATGATGGGTAGGAGATCAATTTGCAACGTCCTCAGACTCTAGAAGCACTTCGAGAGGAGTTGGTGGTTGCCTGGAATGAGATACCACAGGAGGACATTGACCACCTGATCAGAAGCATGCCTAGGCGCGTTGGAGAATTCGTAGCACATCAGGGTGCATCCACACATTATTAAAGGTCAAAGGGCTTTAAAGCAGTGCAATCATTTTGAAATTTTTATCATTTACTTATTATGCTTCATTAAGTACTTATAAAAAAATTTATTAAAATAAAACCATTTAAACTGGGTGTTCGGATTTATATGTCACTTAGTATATAAACTCTTTGTAACTAAAAATTATTTTCTACTTTTTAGATCGGTTAGGTATAAAAGCGTGTTTTTTTAGTTTTTTTTAAACTGTTATTTTATTTTATTTTTCAGCTGCTTGTTTGTAATTATATGTAATTGTGACTTATACTTCATCCGTTCTGACAAATGTGACATTAACTACTGCTCTAATTTTGTATTGTCTATTGTTTCAAGTGCTATTTGTCCATTATCTATAATGCATTACAAATGGTGTTCTCAAGTTCTCCTTTATTTCGGTTTTGTTTGAATGTATCGCTTTTACTTCCTATGCCAAAATTTGTAATCGCGAAAAAATTTAGATAAATGTCTTTTTGGATGTTATATGACTTGTACAAGGTGCCCAACTAAGAATTCGAGATACTGGAAATGTAAATACCTGATCTTTAAATTAGAGGATAATCTGAACATTGTTCTTTTGATAATGTTTGCTGTATCTCTAAAAATAACGTGGTGGGGAATATTAAAAGGTTTCCGTAAAAAACACCGTGTATCTTCGAAACGGCTAGTTCGATTTTCCCAAACTTGGGCTAGTTGAAAAGAGCTATTCTTGGCCGCTAGATGGCTTTTTTCGACATTCCGTTAGAACAGATTAATTTTCTCAAAAAAATCAAATGCATTGGTATGTTTTTTATATGAAAAAATATCTTAATGGTGTCTAAACAAGCCCGCGAAAACCGCATCTCTATATCTTGTTCCTAATCTAAAATTTAGGCCTAAGAAAATTTGATACGGCAATCCCCAAAATTTTTATTCTTTTACACTAATTCTTTTATTCATCAGAATAAAACCACCCTTTTTGAAAACATATCACTACAGCGTAAGTAGTGCCGATAACAAAAAGCATATGTTTTGTTTAAATGCATATTTACCATCTATATATACGAAAAAGACAATTAATATGAGTAGGCCATGGAATACTACAAAACAAATACCTAATCAAAACATAACAAAGGCTTAGGATATATAGAGTCAATCTACTTGACACCACTTTTTCCTTTATGCTCAAGTGACTTGTGCAGGCATTTTTTTAGAGAAAATCGACTTTAAAGTAAAATAAAATCTGACAACGCCGCAATTCCAGTTACGACGGAAGGCAGTGTAAATCAAGATGGAGTTTGTTATTTTTGGCTCTTAGGTATTATTTCTTTATTTGATAATGTACTCGTACAACGCAAACAATTAAAAAAACGGACTTACCACTAACTGTCTTAGCGGTTCACCTGGTGTGTGAAAGTTTATTGAACGTATTAAAAAATCTACTTATAAATAGAGAACACAATTTTGATACATACATTGTTTTTCTTTTTAAAAGGTGTTCAAAATGTCGTCCTCCACTTTCCATACAAGCTTCATTACGACGAACCCAGTTTTTTCTTACTCTAGGACCTCGAAGTTGTCCATTTATTATTTCAGCCGCATTAAATTTTTTTTCGCGAAGTTGTGCTTCAGTTGTTATTGGACCACCCCCGTAAACCATCCCTTTAAGTTCTTCCCAATACCAGAAATCCATCGGATTGCGGCCACGAGATCTTGCTGGCCATTGTCGAGGATCAGGAGCATTTCGAAAAATGCCTGGTGGTGCCCCGTTATCAAGAAAACACAAATTCTGTCTGGCATGTTGTCTAAGGTCTGTTCCAAAAGTTCTGGTAGGTTATTGGCAAGAAAGCTAAGGTATGCTTGCCTGACAACCTTGAATTCTGACGAGCTTCACCGTAAACTAACAACATGTCGGCGAACTCTTGATTCGAGAACATTGTAAATAAACACGACGACGTACGCGAACAAAAACAAAACAACACGCCCGATGATCTGCTCGACAAAACGATAAAGTAATGTATCTATGCAAAACGATAACTAACCACTGTTACCGTTTGCGATCGATTGCCGGTTCGATAAGAGTGATGAAGAACCGACGCGCTGTTGTCGTGTGTGTTTTGAATATTTAATTTAATGAAACTTACTGATTACAAAGTTTGGCTTAACTTAGAAAAACTTAATGCCATTTATTTGTTAATTACCCAATATAAAAACGTTTTAGACTAGATTATAAAAATTAGTAAGATTGTGGTGATTGTGGTCGATATAAAGTTGTAAACTATAAAGCCGTTTAGACAAAAATCTATTGACTTTTGGACCATGGGTCATATGAACTTTTTGACTTGTTTTGACTCCCCTATTACCCATTGCAATAACGACTACCATAAAGTTTACACCCTGTATTTTACTCATACTGCCATGTGCAGCTAATTTACACTCACTAAGTAACTTTTATCTAACCAGCAAATTTCATTCCAGCCCAAGCGGACCGCGAGATCCTCCAAAGGGTAGGAGGCAGGGCGGACCAAACGAACACCCCATCCCAACTAGCCAAGTCCATAGAAAAGATCATCTTCGAACTGAGTAGTTTATTCAAGAACGGTATCGGGGGACTGCTGAGCCCCAGGGACGGCGACGAAGAGCTCGAAGACGAAGAAGAAGAAAAGACTGAAGACGAAACCAAAGATGGAGTCTCGAGCAGGGGCAGCGCGAAGCAAGGTATGTGATGAGGGTGGATAGATGCTCGCTTTTCATGTTCGTAGATTCGCATAAGAAACCAGGGAATGAGTAGCAAGTTATAGGTGAATTATGCCAAATGAGCGTACAGTATGATTTATACAGGGTGACAGGTAAATAGGTATAAAACATTTTAGGAGGTGATAGTACAGCCCCTATGCTATCGAAATTAGTATATAATACCATACCCTATATTCAAGGGTTGAAAAGTTATTGAAGATTTAAGATTTTTTCAAAAACAATCCATATTTCAGAGTAAAAAAGTCGAGAGAGAAAAAAGTTGGCGATTAAACATTTGTTTTTTGTGGTTTTGGGTTATTATTTCAATAATTAACCATTATAAATTAAAAAAGATTCGAAAACAATATCAAACAACGTATTTATTTTCATTCAAAAATGTTTAACTGAAAAAAACAAATAACGTTTTACAGTAAGTAAGGTGTTTTACAAAAAAATCAGTATACAAAAAAACGTACAAACAATTTAAATAATATCCTTGTTTCATAAGGAATCTAAATTGGTATGATAAGTACACAAAAACTGTGTGAAACTAAACATAATGTATTGTAATACAACAATAGGGAGTGAATTTACCAATGGCTTGTCTCCTATTTTCACAACTCTCTGATTGATAAGAAAATGTTTTTGTGAAAATAATGTAACTGTAAGCTATGGAATAGTTATTATTTTAAACTACGGTTAAGTTATACGATTAGATTATTTACACAGTTGTAATTGTACTACAGAATAATAAAAACTGACTAAAAGTTACTACAATTGGTAAGTAAAATACAATAATGAAATGAAGGTAAAATTCATTGCAATTGTTGTTCGAACTGACGCCCGCCGTTTCTTATGCAAGCCCGTTGTCTTTTTCTCCTGTTGGTACGCGTGATGCGGCCAGTTAGTTGTCCTCTGATAGTGTCAGCAGCAGCAATAATTCTTTCTTTCAACTGTGCAACAGTGTCTATGGGCTCAGCGTACACCAGTTACTTCATGTGCCCCCATAAATAATAGTCACACGGTGTTAAATCTGGGCTTCTCGCTGGCCACGGTGTCGGTCCACCTCGGCCAATCCAGCGACAAGGATATTTCTCGTCCAGCCACTGTCTAACACCCAGACGGAAATGCGCGGGACAGCCATCGTTTTGGTAGATCATCTGCATCCTGATATTCAGAGGCAGGTCTTCGAGATACTCCCAGAATTCGGATCTCAAAAAGTTTTCATAGGATTCGCCGTTCAGGTTGTTAGGCAAAAAACTGGTCCAATTAGATACGTATGAATGATTCCCATCCACACGTTTGCCGAAAATCTTCTTTGATGGGTTCTTGGCTTTGCCATGTGGGGATTTGCCTCTCGTGGGTCCCAATAATGTAAGTTGTGATAATTTGTTTTCCCCTCTCTGTCAAACTTAGACTCGTCGGTCCACAATATTTTAGTTAAATAGTCGTTTTCTTCTTGATCCCGATGAAGCATGTATCGACAAAAATCAATTCTTCTTGCGGGATCTCCTTCTTCTAATACTTGAACCGGTGTGTGATGGAAAGGGTAGAGTCTCGCCGAATGCGAAACGAACCAAACTTTCCACTGAGTTAAACCAAGCTGCTTTGCTATAACTCGTGTATTCGTCGTCGGGTCTCTGCCGTAGCATTCCAGTATTGCCTCTCTATCTTCGTCGTCAGACAACCGAGGTCTACCACCATCATGACGTCTCTCATGAACCTGTCCACTTTCCTTGACGCGTTGGTACACAGAAGCAAATACTCGATGACTCGGTATTTGCCGATTCGGAAAACGGTTTTCGTATTCTCGCCTGGCTTCAACGGAATTTCCATCACTTAAACCATAACAAAACAGAATATCAGCGTATTCTTCGTTACTGTAACTCGCCATTATTAAAACTGATCAAAAAAAGTAAAAGTACGTCCTACTGCGTTAAAGGTTGATATTCTACTAACTAACCTAAGCGTTAGTTCCCTTTCCTTGATCCGTCAGCTGTGTCAATTCATAACACACGCAGAGCTTGCTTCCGAGGAGCGACGACAGATTCCGAATACTTAAACCCGAATAACGGCACGGGGCACAAAAAATAACAGAAAGGGTCGAACCATGAAAGGCTCGGCTTAGCGGTCCTTTCTAGCAAAGTAATATTGTTTTGTTAAATGGTTTACTTACTGATATGTTATTATACCATTTTAGAAACCTAATGAAACGAGGAAGTATTTGCAGTTATTTGTACATTTTCTTTATTATGATTTTTTCGAGAAAAAAAGACTTCTTAATGTGAAAGTTGAAAATAAAAATTTTCATTTAACATTTAAATGAAAATAAATACGTTTTCAGTAGTGTTTTCATATGTTTTTTGATTTATGAGAATTATTTATTTTAATAATAACCTGAAACCACCAAAAAAAGAATGTTTAATCACCAACTTTTTTTTATCTCAACTATTTTACTCTGTAATCTGGGTTGTTTTTAAAAAAAAATTAAATCTTCCATAACTTTTTAACCTTTGAATATAGGGTATGGTATTATATACTAATTTTGATAGCAAAGGAGCTGTACTATCACCTCCTAAAATGTTTTACACCTATTTACCTGTCACCCTGTATATTAAAACGTGAAAATAATAGCCCTGCTTAAAGAATTCTTGTGGCTGCTGGTTGGAGAATTCCTTGAAGGCATTTTGTACTTCTTCGTCTGACTGAAAATGCTCAAAAATTGAATGACCGCACGCTGATTATATTTACTTAAAATCGCAGTCAAATACAAATGACAAGAACCGATCAGTGTGACGTTGACAAGCACAGCTAACATTGCAACACGTCAGTTAGGAGATTGCTTCCAAGGCTAACCGGACCAAAGTTGGGTTTTAATTGAACAACATAAATAATTTGCTACACATTTCCTGTATTCTGACCGCTTCGTCATTGCACCATAGAAGTAGATATTGAAAAGTAGATGTTTGAACACGTAGAGTCGTTTTGCACAGTAGATTCGGTCACAACAATTAACTATTTTTCTGTTCGATGAATTGTTGTTCATGGTAGAACGTCGTGAAACGCCGATCTCGCCAGAATAACTCCATCAAGTTTGGAAAATATTCTGTGTTTTTGTATTATATGATGCTATATGTGTTGAATTCTTTATATGTTTAGCTTCAAAAGTTTGTTCAGATGTAGGCGTATTATTGATTTACTGTAATTTTGAATGGAAAACATTTGTTCACTCTTTGAGTCACATCAAACGTGATGTCAACTTTTTATATGCACAGCCTTCAGCTTAGTTGCCATACATATATATATATATATATATATATATATATGTATGTATAGGGTGTTAAGTATGTACCATAAATTTACCAGAGTAAATTTAAGACAAAAAGTTCGTATAAATTCTCCGTTCTCAATACACATGGTGTTAAAATTGAAAAAAAATGGCTTTTCGTGAATCTCTTTAATATCCTTCATCTAATTTGGTTGTGATTCGGCGGTGGTATTTATAACATTAAGGAGCTTTTTTTATAAAAATTATAAATAATAATAAGTGCATAAGTTTAGATGTTTATGTAATGTAATTTAATTTAGCGGTTATTTGTTGTTGTTACATACTTGGTAATGAAGAATTATAAAAAAAAGAATCTCCAAAATAAACTTTTCCCCATATTCCTTGTATGGTCCATTGCTATACAATTGAGTGGACGTTCTTTTCTCGAAAACTAAGCAAGATACGAAAAAGACTCAAGAGACAGAAAACTGTATTTCTATTTGCTTAATCCAGAGTCAGAGGCGAATATCTTTTTTTACAGTTATTCGTTCTGATCCCGCTCGAGGCGCCACTGAACTTAATAAATGTAATCAAGTTATGGCCAAATTAGATCCTTGATATTATTAATACCACCGCCAAATTGCAACAAAATTAAGTACGGAATATTTAAGTTATTTACGAAAACCGTTTTTCTAATTTTAACTATTTTGAGAACGCAGAATTTGTGAACATATGTTTTTATTAACTTTTTATCTTAAAATTACTTAAATAATCGTCTGTTAAATTTATGACATACTTAACACCCTTTATATAAAGAACAATGACATTTTTTCATATTTATGGACCTGAAAATGTTTTCATTCATGTTATTGTAATTTGTGTATCTGTTTTATGTGTTTCTAGCTTCATGCTATTCGCTTTGTCTGTTCTTTATCTACAGAAAAATACCTACTTCTCTACATCTCTCATAACTGATCTTCATTTCATTTGTCACACCACTTCCTTTGTTCTTTCGTGTAATTAATATAATCTATTGAAAAAATCACAGTTAAGTTTCCGACAATGGAATCACCAAACTATACAGGGTGACCTTAGTAGTCATAGTGTTAATAACCAAAGTTTTTAAAAATACAAAAAGGGAATACTATACTGGAATTTGTGAGGCATTTTCATCAAGAAGTGTATATCCTGTAGGATGAAGATTTCCGCGTTGAATCCCCATATTTGTTTGAGTTTGAAATGGTGTTCGAATCGATAATATGACCGCTGTCTGTAGTCATGCTTCCTCATATATACAGGGTGGCGCATCGAAAACGAAACAGACGCATTTAGGGGCAGCTCAGTTTTTTTGGAAAAACGCTCACACCCGTCGATTTTGTTTTCGAGAGGGACACAAGTTTGGAAAAAATCACGTTAGCACTTGCAGCCCCCTGGGCGGGGGTGACACCAACCCTAAAATCTTAAATGAGCATCTGTTTCGTTTTCGATGTGCCACCCTGTATTTGTGTATACATGATGGACAGACTTAAAGTACTACAACTGAAATTTGATTAAATGAGGAATAATGACGATTTTGAATGAATGGGCGCCCACAGCTTTAATGGCGTCAACACAAGTACCTGAACCGGTCACCCTGTATGACTCGAAAATTTTGAAATATACTTTCTGGTTAAATTGGGATTTTAATTAATATCGAATATATTGTGAAATTTTC